TTCTTGAGCTTTTTTGTGATGGGTTCATTTGGTGCATATAGCATATAAATTTCAAAATAAGTATAAAATCAACCCATCTTTCTACAGGACTTAAAAACATGGGCACGTAAGTGGAATCTCAATTGCGGCTTAAGAATACAACTACTTGCTGAGAGTAACTAGTATTACCACTGCTCCTGCTATTGTGTCCAATGGTGCAAATCTTCGTTATCCTACATGCTGATTCGGTATGTAAAATGCTTATATATGCTATTCATGGCATTCAGCTCCTGGTTAGATGAAGTTATCTCTGAGAACTAGCAAAATAAAAGCTATGTTAGGAGAACTGCCAAAAAAGGAAAGAAGCCTGACGAATTTCCTATTATAACAAAACAAAAAAAAAAAAATTGCTCAATGCAAATGGATGTTGATGGCAACTGGAATTAAAGTGTTCAGCCAAGACAACTAGTGGATACTACAACAAATATGACTTTTAACCACGAAATTATTAGCTACAACAAAAAAAATTATCACTAATTGTTTATTTTCTGTGACAAAAGTTACACTTCGTATACAAATACACGAGTCACATAGTTTTAGTGACGAAACGTGAATTTTGTAGCAAAGTTTTGTCTACAAAAGTTTCGAGTCCAAAAATATGTTGGCGCCATGTTTTTAGGCAACCTTTAGCTAAGAAGTAAAATTATTAATGACGAATTATATTTGTCATTGATCGACAAATTTATTAGTGACAAAAAAATTTTCAGCCTTGAAAAATAGTTACATTTAGACACGAAAATTTTTCGCCACCACCATTGTCTTTGCTAGTTCTTTCTCCAGCTTCTCCTTCTATGTGACTCAATTGATCTCTCCAGCAGTTTTATAAAATTTCCCACCTACAGTACTGTTAATCATACGTACTTTGTTTGGAGAAAAATCTGAGTGATCTTTTGCTTGTTGGTTTGGCTGATGAAATTGGATTGCGAATAATGTTGGTCTTACTGCTAGTCTTGCCATTGCAAGACTTTCCATTCCAATAAGGTAAAAAGGGTGCTTGGAGGATTTTATGAAATGAAATCAGGATTGTTAGGATTTTAAAAGTTTGTTAAAAGTAAAACTTTCAACTAGTATGACAGGTTATTGGCTATTCAAAGCTTCCAAATTAGCTCCTCAGTACATATTATGTAAGTGTCTAGTAGCTTATAATTTACTCTAGTTTTGTTATATTGTGTGATAAACCCTTTTCATTCTTCTCTTTGTTTAAAATCCCAGATTCAGCCGTTGTTCCACCTCTGGTTTATGCCTTCATGGGGGGTGGATCTACCTTACGAGGTAGGGTACCACGGCACCCGCTCGTTTCGCTAAAATTCTTACTATGTACATAATATCTCTGTGAAGAAACGTATATATGGATAGAGTAGCACCCAAAAGTCACAAAGTGGAAGCGGGTGCCATTGGTTCAGCCTTTCCCTTTGAAAGCTTTCTTTGGCCTCATGAATGCAAGTTCGATTCCTTGTTGGAGCAGCTCCTTTGATTTTTCATTTTTTTTTACTTATTAAGATTTTCTTTATTTTCAGTTGAGCCCTAGGGCCTCATCTATTTTCCTTCTTTTTCGGCTCTTTCCCTCATTTTCTTCCTTTTATTACTTGCTAAGTCTCTCTTCTTCATTTTTTAAATTTTCAGTCCTCATTTTGTTTCTATCATTATACCTTACTTTATGAACAATTATTTTTCTATAGGTAATTTGAATTGATTTTAATTAGCATATATTTTTTTTTTATTTTTAATGAAACGATATTAATTTATATATTGAAATATAATTTGAGCAATATCTTCTATTGGGTTTTGAAAAATAATTAAATGCCTTGATTGATAGTTGTTTTTTGAGTCGAATATCATAGGTTGAAGGTTTTTCTTTGAAAATAATTGTCATATAACTCAACAATTAAGATGGAAAAAAAAATAAAGAACAATACAAGTAAATTAATCTAGTCAAACAAAGAATATATAGTGTAGTTAAGCTACTCTTTAAGCAAATATTTATATTGGAGGCGCTATTTCATGAAATGTTATTTTTCTTTTGAATTTTTGTTTAGAATGTGTTTAAATTAGGCGTTAAAAATTTGAACTAAAATCGAACTTATTTGCTTTGTGAATGAAAGGCCTATTCAAATAAACCAAAAACTAAGCGAACCGACCCATTATTCATAATCTGTCTTTGTAGCTACTGACATGTATACTGTATACATAACATGGTGACACCCGCAACCTTCGAATCCTGGATCCGTCTCTGTGGGCAGCTCAAGAAAAATAGGCAGTGATTAACCTACATTGTAAGTCAATTATTCCTTATATTCACAGAAGTGTATGCTTTTCTGTGAAAAGATAGACTAATGGAATTTATGTCTTCAATACAATTAAACTGTTTTTCCATTTTATTCATTAATCTTTTTTATTTAAAAAAAAAAAAAAGTTCATATCATGTTGATCTTATTTTATTTTGTCATTTCAGGTCATATGCTATATGATATTTAGAAATTTGACATGTGGAAGACTTCACTACGATACAGAGTTAGAGAAACTGTTATGCGTCATGTATCGTCTAGTATCGTAGTAGCTATTACCAGTTATTGGACACAAAATGACACTAGTTAGTATTTGATTGGAATAGTTTACTCTTTTTTTGTTGTTGTTGATACATTTAATGAAATGTATTAGTATTATTTTTGAATGTAAATAGGCATAACTGCTAATATTGGGAAAGTCCCTTATTCATTTTTATTGGCAATAAAAAAGTCGTTGAATATAATATTTGTCCTAGAACATCCTTCTTATCAATAATATATTTCATTATTTGAATACGAATTAACATTGTATTTTATGACAATTGTAAGTGTCACTAATTATGACACTTTATGACGACAATTTTGTTTTGTCGCTAAAAGCAATATTTTTAGGGACGACAGGATAGTTTTCAACTACAAAATTGTAAATCATTTTTGCGAAAGCAAAGTCGTCACTCAATTAGGGACAAAATATTTTTTTGTATATAAAATATAGTCTTTAGTGGCGAAATAACATTTTTCCAGCTACGAAATACATGTAACTTTAGAGATAATTAACATTGTCACTAATTGAACTAAATAATTAGTGATAAGGTAGTTTCGTCTGTATTAATAATTTTTTTAGTGACGAAAATATATTAACACCTAAAAATTTTCAATACTTTTTCTGACAAACAAATTCGTAAATACTATGCATTTGGCGGCGAAAAAAGAGTTCCGTATTTAATCTACCTTTTTTAGCGACAACACACTTAGTTGTTTTTGTTGTATACTTTTAGCGACTCACTTTTAAGGACGAATAGTTGACAAAAAACAATTTCTTCGCAAAAAGGTTTTTCGTGACGAAATTTGATTTTTTAGTGACAGAAATAATTTGTCACTGATAACCAGGTTTGTTGTAGTGTACTCCTGGCTGTAAAGGGGAATTGAAAGGGGAAAGAACCAGAGGAGCATTAGCCAATCACACCCTATATTGCTGTAAAATCAACAAAAATATTAGATATTCTGAAAAAGCACTTGATCAAGAAAACTAAAGTCTGATCATAAAGGGGGGCCTTCAGCATTACTACTGATCATCCTACTACAGAGAAATTTGGCTAGCAACTGTAAACTAAATAATTTAGTTCTATGTTGGTGTCGGGAACTAAGGCTTTGGCATGACGAATGGGAGGAGACTCATATTTATAGAAGGAACTCACTGACCTGTTCAACTTTGCCATGAATACTGATGAAAAAGTTGCATCTCATAAATGAAAATATGGTTGATAACTAGCAATTTGAAGAATTATAGAGAATGAAAGGTAGAAATAATGTTACCACTATTGAATAGATTGGAAGGAGCACAGATCACACAAGAGATGCCTGACTCTATTAAGGGGAAGCATAAGAGGAATGGAAAATTGTTAGCTAAAAGTCAGGCTATGCAACACTTATCTATGTTGATATACTGTCACTTCCCTGGCCTTGGAAATTTAATTGGTAGAGGAAAGCCCCTTCTAAGGTGAATGGGTTGTGTCAGATTTGCAGCCCGTGGTGCTTGCTTAACGTAGTGTAATTAGGAAAAACGCAGTTTCAATATTAGCAATAGGTGGTTTTTGCATGAGAATGAAGCAGAAGATGTAGATCACCATCCCCTGCATTGACCTGACCGAACAAATCATACATGTCCATCAATCTATTTGAAACGGAATGGTTAATGCAAAAGTCAGTAAAGGAGTTACTTTGGTGTCCGCCTAGAAGGAAGCTGGTTAAATATAGAAGAAGCATGTGGTCTAGTACCACCATCCTATCTTGCCATCAAAGGTACTCTGAAGGAAGCGCGCAACATACACACGAGCTGAAACAGAAATATACACTTTTGGCTGTTTCCCCTGAAACTTTCAAATGTACATTTTTGGCTGTTTCCCCTGAAACAGTTGTCATGCTTAGTGGTGGGAAGGAAGCAGCCCTAGCCTTAGAAGTCAAATGAAACTTCCCCTGAAACATGTCATGGAAAGTTTGTTACATTACCTACATTTAAAAAGGGCCTGCACTTTTGCTTGTACGTAGTTGCACCTACTTGGTGCAGTTTCTCATCAATCAATTGCTCGACTTATCAAAACGAGAAAAATCAGCTTTGTCATACATGTTGACTCAATATTACACCTAAGTATCTGCCGTGTAAATCTCTGTCAAAAACAATTACATGCCATTCATGGCATTTAGCTAAGACTTTGTAGTAGTTTTCTACCAGGACAATTAAGAACTATGCTATGGGAGCTACCTAACAAAGAAAGCAACCCAACACATTTTCTATCATGAAGCAAAAATACTTCGGCAAATAGTGGTTGCAAACACTTTCTAGTATATCAAAGGAACCCAAAATGTAAATAGATGTCGATGTCAACTAGAAATGAAGGTTTCAGCTAAGACAAATAGTAAACTCCAAGTAGGAAGACGTAGAAGAGAATAGGAAGATGAAAGAATTAGCAAAGCATTAGCAAATCCTGCTTTTAAGATCAGAAAATTACAGAAGGAAGAAATTCTGACATGACATATGATCAACATCAAGAAAATAAAATTCTATTCATAAGAGTGGTCTTTAGTATCATTACTACTAAGCCTACGGCCCTACTACAACATAGAAATTTGGCAGATAATGTAATCACCAGATAGTTGCAAAAACACAAGGTCTGGAAGTATGATGAGCCCAAAAACATCTACCTACAGTAGTCAAGACAGTAGATTTACAGCCTCTATTTTAATCAAAGAGTTTTAATACCCAAGAGCATAGCAAATTGCCACGCACTCCTAGCTCCTCCAAGAAACTTTGACCTTCCAATAAATTAAAGGAGGCTCCCAATGTCAGCCTGAAACCTGCAAAACAATGTCAAGTTGCAAGAAACTAATAAGATTTTAAAACAAGAAGTAGCTGCATTATGTTAAGAATATTAGCACCTAAACTTTAGTGAACTCTATCCAAAACTTTATAGGATTAAAGGAGTTGAAAAATAGTATGAGCAAAAGAATCTTTTCTAGATTTGTGTTTGTCTCATATAGAATATGCCAACTCAAAAAATAGAATCAGCCATTATGTTTGTCATGCATGTAGCAAAAACCTCAACACAGCCACAGGGTATAGATCAACTAGAACATAGCTAAGGGCTACAAGTAGACTGGGAACTGAACTTGCCTGTTCTTCCGTTTTATCATGCGCAACCTCTTTACTTTCATTTTGGACATGTACATCAATCCACCGAATTTGAAGGGAGATAGAATACACAGTCCTCTTCTAGTGTTTCCTTTACGAACTTTCCTCCCACCCTTAGCCTCCCTCTTGCATAAATTGGATTCTTTGCAAGTGTCTCCAGTAAAATAATCTGTTCGCTTACCAAGTAAAATAAGGCTCATTTTGTAAGTATTAACATAAAGTGCATTCCGATAAGTTAAATAGTTAGCATTATGAATGCCAAGATTCTTAATTTTTTCAGCTTCAGGATCATATGAAACCAAGAGTCCATTGTCCGCTCTCCACAAAAATTCACCATTTTCCCTTGAAGCTATTGGCTTTACTAAGAAATGAGCAACCTGATGCTGACGACCATCATTTAACAACGAGAAAATTTCATCAACAACACTAATGTTGAATGACACGTCTCTTAAACTGATGCTGAACTGTTTCACCCATGATTCTGGGTCACCATACTCTTTCATCATCCAAATATCAATTGTTTTGTCATTTCCAAAGGAACTTTCAGCCAAACAAAGTGATTCATCTGAGACAAAAAGGACAAATCCCTCACCATGAAAACCAAAAAATTTCTCATTTAAACAACCCGGCACCATCATTTCCCAGAACGTCTCCTCATGCATATCAAATAGAACAATCATATATCGACCAAATCGTTTTTGTTGAGAAGCAACCCAATGACACGCTCCATTCACATAGACCCCCGGTGTCTGCCTAAGAATTTATAAGATGGAGAAACAGGGGTAATGTCTTGCCAAACACCAGTGCTCAACTTATAAAGTTCAACATGAGGTGGAACCCTATCAACATTATCCCCAGTATGTACTATCCGTACCACCTTGTAGTCATTAGTAACACTATCGAACCCAAACCCTAACGTATGATCAAAGGGACCATGTGTCTCAAATGTAAAAATTGGTTCAGGGAGTTTTACTGACTTTCTGATAGATGGGTTCCAAATATAGTAAAGGTCCCTATAACAACTTAGGTCATCGGAAAGGCACAAAAGCCCATTACAACTATCCACAATATTAAAGTGACTGTAACTCTCAAATGGAAAATCAAACTGGGCATACTGATCAAAATTTTCATTGTCATAGAATAAAGCATAATTTTCTTTTACTGATTTTCCAGAGCAATGTCGTACTAGCAAGTAATCATCTTGGTTGTTGAGGTGTACGGAAATAAAATTAGGGCTAGTAATAAGAGAATACCATATGACTTACAAACACTTGTACACTGAATGATGGACTTGGTGGGAAGCTTTAGAAAAATTTTAATTAACACTTCTTCTGGCACATACTCAGACATAGTTGGATATCTGAAAATCACTTCTGAAAATCGGTTCGGGGAGTTTTACTGACTTTCTGATGGATGGATTCCAAATATAGTAACGGTCCCTATAACCCCACAGGTCGTCGGAAAGGCACAAAAGCCCATTACAACTACCCACAATATTAAAGTGAGTTTCACACTCAAATGGAAAATCAAATTGGGCATACTGATCAAAATTTTCATTGTCACAGAACAAAGCATAAAATTCTTTTAGTGGTTCTCCGGAGCAATGTCGTACTAGCAAGTAATCATCTTGGTAATTGAGGTAAGTGGAAATGAAATTAGGGCTAGTAATAAGAGAGTACCATGATTTGCAGACACTTGTACACTGAATGATAGACTTGGTGGGAAGCTTTAGAAAAATTTCAATCAATACTTCTTGCGGCAAATACTCAGACATGTTGAAAATCACTTCTAAAGCTTGATTTCCTTTCTCCTACTGCAGACCCCTAAAGAGCCTCAAGGCTTAGCTCAAATGTGTATTTCTAATTTCTGGTATCTGCTCTCATTCTCTGCAAAACCCTTTTTAAACCTTAGCAAGAGCTTGAATTCGTCCGCATATATGTTTTAACCCTAAAACTTTGTTTAATTCCATTATGGTACCTTGGAATTTAAAAACAACAATAACAACAACAACAACCCAGTATAATACTTATACCTACCATGAGTTAGAAAGGTTGTTTCCAATAGAAACTCGGCATCCTTCCCTCCAAGAACTCCCCACCTTGCTCTTGGGGTGACTCGAACTCACAAACTCTTTGGTTGGAAGTGAAGGTTGCTAACCATCAAAGCAACCCCTCTTGAAAGTGGGATTTAAAAACAATAAAATAAAAAAAAGCAGCACATTTGGTAATTTGGTAGATATAGAGAACGTGTACGTAGTCAATACAAAATATATAGCCAAAATTCTATTGTCCGTATCTTCTCGATTTCTCTTTGGTATGGATATAATTAGGTTAATTAATTATAATAATTTATTTTAAAACGTCAGTAAGTCACATTGCTATTAGGATGTCTTATTTGTTATGTGTATGATAATAGTAACAAATTTTAATATATAACACATAAAGTATAAATTAAGAGTATTATATGTTTATCGAGTATATACTACAAGTGCTTGTATATACTAAGGGTGTCAAACGGACCGGGCTGGCCCGGTTTTTCAGAACGGCCCTGACCGGTTTTAGATCGGACCGGCTCGGTGGTAAGGGGTCGGACAGGGCTAGGTTGGGACGAAAATCGGTCTGTGCCAAGGAAAATTTTAATATCGGGTAACCGAACCGGTCCAACCTAGTAAGGTCTTGTCAATAGTGATCTGGTTAACCGCGCCGGTTCAACGGTTAGTTCAATTTATATTTTAATAGTCTTGATCGTTGGCAACGGTCAGCTGCCATTTTGACCGTTGACTAACGGCTAATTCGCAAGAATACACCTTTTGGGCTTTTTGTTTTCAAAAATAACACTTTTACTAATTACTAATTTAGCCCTTTGAAAAACTATAAATAGATCCCCCCGTGTTCTTCATTTCTTCACTCATTTCTCAATTCTCAAACCCAAATTCTCACTTGTCATTCTCTCATTCTTCACCTAAATTGCTATCAACTATTTGGCTCTCATTTTTTTTTGGAATTTTATCTATGGTATTGAACAATTGAAGTTTATTCGTGGTAACGTCGGAGTCGCGAAATTCAATTTCAAGACTTCAAAAATCATCAAATGTTCAATTTATTGCAGAATTCGGTGCACTCATTCCAACTCTTTCTCTTATATAATATTTTATTTGCATATTTAATTTTTATTAGTATTTAAATTTTTACAATATGTTTAATGCTGCAAAATGAGTTTGTAATAAGGTTGCTAATCAGGGTAATCAGATAAATAGAAAAAGAGGCGCTACTTCAACTTCTGGTAGTAATTTAAATGACTTTACACATTTTTTGAAGCAACACTTGATAATAATATAGATTAGGACAAATACATACGCAGCCCCTTAAAGTTGTCACGAAATTTCACTTAGACACTTCAACTAGAACGGTTACCTTGTTGACACTTATAGTATATAAACAATGTTCCTATTGAACACAAAATTGACATTTTCAAACAAATACAAGTGTGTGCATCTCACTTTTCGGGGACTCTTTCGACGTGGCAAGTCAAACCAATTAAAAAATTATAAATCAACAAAAAAATAAGAGACGTGTCAGAAATTAAAAAGAAGGCCAACAAAGAAAAGATTTTTCCATAACCTTTCTTAGTCATCTTCTTCCTTAGGATACATACTGTATTCCCGTCAAACTCTTCTCTCCGATTGAAGCCAGCAAATTTGTTTATTGTTGGTGTTAGCATTCTTATTTTCTTAAAGAAACATTAAAATCTTTTAGAAAAATAAAAATTATCATTTCCCCTTTTCTTATCCCTTCTTCCCTGGATTTTTTTGATTGATTAGAAGTTTTCTTCTCTATCTTTTATGGAAATTAAAGCTTGGTTTAGAACTTTGTCAATCTTTAGATCTGCTGTTATACTATTTCCGAACCAGAACCTCCCTCCCCTCGTCATCTTCTTAAAGGAAAATTTAATATCTTTTGATCAAATACCAGCAAAAATCGACAATCAAATGAATCACAACAACAATAGTACCTCAACATATATTATAAATAAATTAGTAAGAAATATTTTTCACCAAAAAGATCTGAAGCCAGACCCAAATACGACTCGTCCTACCATGAACCCAACGGGTGTCTCCGGCGAAACTAGGTGGTGGGGATAACGAAAGGATACATTTTGAGTTTCAGATCAATGCCGAAAAATATTTTAATAGCTTTTTATTTTCATCCCAAAATAAGGTAGAAGGATTCATCATTGGCCATAATAAAAAGAGCTAAAGGAATCAAATAGCTCTTCTCCATTTTCTTTCTATTCGTTGTCTATTTCTCTATTAGTTCTCTTTTAAGCAGTAGAGTGGTCACGAAAGGAAGAACTTGATAGTTGGGTTTTGTTGAAAAATAACTAGGAGAAGAGAGAGAGAGAAGAGGATTCCGTTATTCACGCGCCTAGCTCAAAGTGAGAACCACTCCTTGTGCCACATATGCATGAGGTGTTCACTAAGAACATTGTTCATATACTTTAAGTGTCTAATAGGTACCACTTCTAGTTGAAGTGTCTAAGTAAAATTTCGTGATAACTTTAAGGAGCTAAGTATGTATTTGGCCTATAGATTATGAACAATTACAGGAAGATTACGGTATAGAAGATAATGAATTAGAAATTGAAGATGAGACACCACCTACACCTAGTAGTATTGGAGTTGGTAGCAGGGGTAGTGGTCGCGGCACTAGTAGTAGACCACATGTGGTTCCGACTACTAGTCATCGGAGAAGGAGAAGTAAAGCTTGGAAATATTTTTGAGGAAATAGAGAATTCTGATAGAGTTAGATGCAAAATTTATAAAGATGTTTAAAATAAGACTGGAGGAAGTTTAGGGGGGATTGGGATACTTAGTAGACATATGAGGCTCATCCCATAGAATGGGGCTCTGATTTATCTGAAAATCAAGGAACTCTATTTTCTAGTACTGGAGGACTTATAAAATATGATAAAATGAAGGATCGTGAGAAGTTAGCAAATACGATTGCTTTGGGTTGTCTCTTTTTTCTTTTGTTTCTTCATCGTCTCTTATTATATATAATCAAAGGATTTATAATCCTTTATTTAAAGGTATCCCTAGAAGTACTTGTAGATCTAATATCTTTAGACTTCATGAACAATATCATACATATATATGTTATTTATTTGATCACTTTCCTTGTAGAATTTCTCTAACTTCTGATATCGGCCATGCTGTTAATAGAAATGATTATTCGACAATTACATATCATTGGATAGATGATAATTATTATCTGCAAAAACGTATTATCGCTTTTAAATATGATAAAAATCAAAGTCATACAGATATTTTTATAAGTACTACTATTTGCGAAGTTGTTGCATTTTACAATCTTAATGAAAAAGTATTGTGTATGTCTTTTGTTAATGCTTCTAACAATAATACCGTTATTTCAATATTAAAACTGCATTTGTAACCACCACTTGAAGAACTTTTTTCATGTTAGGTGTTGATCACATCCAACTATACCTTGTAAAAAAGATTTAGCGATCGTTGTAAATATATTCCGGTTAATAAGTCCAGAGTCGAATATCATAGGGAATTAACCTATTAAACACACCTACTAGACTCTCACAAATTGACGCAATCAATCTTCAGAAATATTTAAGTAAGAAATTTGATGTTTACTAACTAAATATCACGTAATGAAAATGCAATAATTAATAACTAACTATGAAAGAGTTGTAGACAATAATTGGAATGATCTAAGGTTATGATTTCCCCTATTGTCGGAATCCTTTTGGGGTCCTATCTTTACCCTTTTGGGTTTAGGAACTTGCACTTTTGCCAAACACCTCCACACTTTAAAATAATTCAAGTTGGGCTTCCTTCCTTTCCATTTTTCATATGGAATGGATTGTGTTTTTCTATGGGGCACTCGATTTAATATTCGATTAGCCGTAAGAATGGCTTCCCCCCACAAGTTCTGTGGCAAACCAGAACTTATCAACAACGCGTTCATCATTTCCTTTAATGTGCGATTCTTTCTTTCCGCAATCCCATTAGATTGGGGCATGTAAGGGAATGTTGTTTGATGAATAATTCCATATTCTAAACATATTTCTTCAAAAGGAGATTCATATTCACCACCCCTATCACTTCTTATCATTTTTACTTTCTTGTTAAGTTGCGTTTCAACTTCATTTTTGTATTGCCTGAATGCGTCTATTGCTTCATCTTTACTATTCAGTAAGTAAACATAGCAATATCGAGTACCATCGTCAATAAAAGTTATGAAATACTTCTTTCCACCGCGAGATGGTATTGACTTCATGTCACAAATATCTGTGTGAATTAAGTCTAAAGGATTTGAATTCCTTTCAACTGACTTATAAGGATGTTTAACATACTTAGATTCCACACATGTTTGACATTTTGATTTTTCGCATTCAAACTTAGGCAGTACTTCCAAGTTAATCATTTTCCGCAAGGTTTTATAATTGACATGACCCAAACGTACATGCCATAAATTATTTGACTCAAGTAAGTAAGAAGAAGCTGAAATATTATTATTGTTTTCCACAACTATTACATTCAGATTGAAAAGGCCCTCGGTGAGGTAATATTTCCCTACAAATATTTCATTCTTACTTATGACAACCTTGTTGGACACAAAAACGCACTTAAAACCGTGCTTAACAAGAAGTCCAGTAGAGACTAAATTCTTTCTCATTTCGGGAACATGAAGGACATTGTTCAAAGTCATGACCTTGCCAGAAGTCATTTTCAGAAATATCTTCCCATATCCTTCAACTTTTG